TAGGAAGGCCGGGCCTTGCATCGGCTGAGAGGTAAGTGGAGCAATTTATGTGGGTTTTGTAGCCAGCTGAGACCTCCCAGCCTGCAGCAGTTTTGCATAAGGTGGTGGACCTTGTAGCTGGCTAAGGCCTTCAGGTCTGGTGAGGAGCAGTCCAAGGCCTCCAGAATTTCCCCAAACCCCTGAGGCACCCACATGGCCCATTTAATAACCGTCACAGTCACACAACTGTGTGTGCAATAAGCTGAGGACTGTCCTTCATTTAACAGACACTTTGCTGCTTGTGTTGAGCCATTTATATTGCTAGTTTTGTCAAACAGGTACAAAATGTTTAGAAGCAAAGCTATGTGCATCATGAAGATTTTTCATAAGGCAGCTAGATTAAATCTGAAAGCTTTTCTACAGAGCTAGAACATTTGAAAGATAGCAGGCCTGGACTTGCAAATATTGCCATCTTTTGTTCTCTACTCCATCTGTTTTGATTTTTTTGTTTGTTTATTGTTAAGAGGGAAAGAAATGAAATCAAGTGGTTTAGTACTGAATTATGAATTTGTCACATTCTCCCTCTTCCCAAAATTATTACTTATTTCCCTTTTTCTTGAATTACATAGCCTGAGGATAGTTTAATGTTAGATAAGTTCAATTTGGATCCTGGCAGTAGTCCATGGTATCCCCAAACCTGCACGCAGCAAGAACTAAGTTATTGGAAGACAATGTTCTCGGCATCGCAGTAGTTCTTTCAGAAATGGATATTAGTGATCTTAGAATATTACTAAATTAGCCCCGCTGAAACCTCTAGCAGAGAAATTAATTATCACAAGCAAAGGAGTCTTCTATGTTCTTTATAGCTGGGACAAAGAGGGAGGAAGTAATCTCTCTAATGGATGAACTCCAGCCAAGTTAGTCAGAGAACAAGGCAGCAGCAAAGTGACCTCCCAAAAAAGATTTTTTTCCAATTGAGGTTTTTGCTGGCTCTCAAGATGATAATAGTAGAGGAAAAGACTGCAAATCTTAAAACTTAAGATGCTAAGGAACATGATTTTAAAGGAATTATTCCTTCTCATGAATAAGATTGGGCTGGTTGTGTGATCTAGCAGGGTTCCAATAGGCTAAGAAACCATGTGTGATCAATCAGAGGCGTTCAAGATGTCAAAATAGAAGAGGAGAGAATAGTTCAGCCACTGTTGCTCCCTAGCTATTGGTATTTGTAGTATGAAGGCTTGATCATCAGTAACCTAATTCCTCTTGAATATGTTCGGCCTCCCATTACAGATAAAAATTTCCATAAACTTCTCTGGGTGAGAACCAGAGGTAAATTTGGTGGGGGAGTTGGACGGGATGAAAGCCTCTACTAGCCTGTGGAAGTAGCAAGTGAGGGCTGGTCCTGGATGTTGGTGTGAGTGTCTGTGAATTCCTCCTCGTGATGAGAGTTGGAAGAGGAACTGACTGTGTGTGTATAAGGGAAGAGACCCTCTTGACTGCTGTGGTAGCTGCTGAGGAGAGGTGCCTGTTTATGCTAGTGTGTGCAGGTGTGTCATAGTAGAGGGAGAGGTGGTTATAGGGTGCCCTGACAAACTCTGAGAGTTGGTGAAGTGTCTCGAGGTGCCTAGCTGCTCCTCCCAGGGATTGGACTAGAAGATCTCCAAGGTCCCTTCCAACTCTGTTGTTCTATTCTGAATAACAGCTGGTTCCTTGTCTTGGGAACTAAGGGGCTTGGATATTTATATTCGGTTACTCATTAACCCCAAAACCTGAAGAAATGATAATATGGGCATGGGGCTGCTGTTGGGGCCAAAATATTATGATAGTGATAGGCAAGATGAGATATGGTGGGAGAAAAGGAGCAGGCCACTCCTGGGGGATGCAGGACTATTGTTTATAGGGGTTCCACATTCTAGCTTCTCAATTTCAGACCCTGATACCCTATCAGTAGATCTTCAGAAGCCCTGGCTTTCGGCTCCTGCTTCTGAATGCTAGGTCGGTCTAATAAAGCTTCTCTCACCAGTGATTTAACCATTAATGAATGGATCATCTGGCGTGTACCACTTTACAGCTGGCTCGGACTAGAAGGGACATTGCTCTTCCAGCTGAGTTTCAGGTGTGGCATCAGCCAAGATCCCAGGATGGAGGGTGGGATGATTGTTATCTGGGAATTTCTTACTGGCTTTGGAGTTGCTGAACTACAGGTTGCCAGATCAGTGAGCTCCTGTTCATTAAGTTGACCTCTAGAAATCAGTTGGGATTGCTGCTGTTAGACCAGCCTCCCTGCTGCACAGCAACTCCTGTGCTTCTTACCTTAATTTCTGAGCTGGCAGTGGAATTCCCCAGATCTACAATTTTGGGGAACTTCAGTCTGCCTTCTTTAGGAGTGGAGTCTGAGGTGGCTCATGAGTTCAGGGATAACCATGGGCCTGCCCCAGATTGTCCAGAGACCAACATGGTGGGACAGTAGCCATATACAGGATCTTGTATACTTGTTGGAGCACTAAATATGTGATTTGTATTTATATAAATACTCATAGGAAAAAAGAGTGCATCCCAAAATACAACATCTTCAGAAGTAGATCTCATTTTCTGCAGTTAGAGGGCTTGATAAATTGCAGCTCATTTTATTTAGGTGAATTGATAGTCACCCACTACCTCCCATCCTTTCCAAAACAGCACTTCTTGGACAATTCAAATGCCAACGTGCCATTTGCTTTCTATCCAGGTGCTGTTGATCTGCATAAACACGTCTCACTGCAGGAGAGAAATCAGAAATGTATTTCTGGAGTGCTCTGTTGGAAAATCCTGCTTGAATGCTTAGCTAGTCTTTGTAAGAAATAGTTCATTTGATCTTGGTTTTCAGTATACTTCCATAAATTTGTTCAGTGTACATCTGTAAGTAACATCTGCTCAATTGTCTTGCAAGTAACACAATAATGCTTAAGCAGTGCCATTAAAGAAGTACTGGACTCTGTCACACAGTTCTTCCTGACTGGACTGCCATGTAAGCAGGTTTTTGTTGTTATAAATAGATAAGATTAGAACAGCCTCTCCAGGTGTACCCAGACCATATTAAGTCATATGGGCTGTGAATTCTGAAAGTTGTATTCCCAATACTTCTGAAGGACAGAAAGAGAATTGCCCAGTTTCCAGCAAATGTAACTCGTCAAAAAACAGCAGCATCTGCAGATTGTTGTAAAGTAGTGTTGAGCTGAGCACCGACTCTGTTCCTTAATTGTGATGCATACAAAGTAAACATCAGCATTTCTGTTGAGCCTCTCTTGAGTCTCCATTTATATTTTCTTTTAGCTTCAAACAACCACCATTGTGCTGATATAACTAGCAAAGAGAGGTTACACATTTCTTCATTGGAATCTTGAGTGTTTTTAGAAATGCTGCTAGTGACCACTGGGGATACCGAATGTATCAGAATGTAACAACTGAAATGGCTTACATATTAGACTTGCATGCACAAGATCTAGATTCAAGTCCCAGTGCAACCTCAAGACTCATTGAGTACCCTTTGGCTGCTTGCAGACTCTCAACAGCCTAAACAAGTTTGCAAACTTCGCATGAAAATAAAATGATAAAACACTCTTAAACACTTTGAACAGAATACAGATACGGAACACATTTGCATGTGTTTTACAAGGAACATAATGGCCATAGGAACTATAAGCAATTTTTAAATAACCAAAAGATCATGCTGTATGGCAAATATGGAGGCTTAAAAAACATGAAGAATGAATAATTGCTGCGTTGCAATTAACCTATGGTTTTTGAAAAGATGTTTCCTAAACTGCAAAGCAATTTGCTTTTATTTATATGGGAGGCAAGATGCCAGTACACATAAGTGTTCATCGGGGAGTGAAGCAAGGGAATGATCAAAGAAAAAGTTCTTATGAAATCAAGGCAAATTACGTTGCTATAAAGGTAAGTTGAGAACAGTTTAAAGCATAACTGAAAGAACTTAGATTTAATATTTATAAAACCTAATTAGCTGTAACACAAAACAACAGGTAGATTCCTTCCCCCTCAATTTATTATTATGCAAGTAAGATTTTCTAGGTTTTAAATTGCATAGAGAGCCAACTTAATTATACTGAGGACTCCCTGTTCAGTCCCCCAAACAGGCAAAAGTGAAGGACTGAAGATGGTGTGGGGGAGTGGGACAATCAAATTATTCACTTTCACATTAACAATAATTGTATTTGGGAAGAGAGAAAGTTCCTCTTGATTGTAACTTCTCCCTAAAATTAGTGAATGGGGGCTCACTTATTTTGACTGTCTTATGTTGCACAATAAATGGTAATACTGTTTGCTACAAGTACTACTGTATAAGAAGACAATTCCTGCTTATAGAAAACTACTGGAAAGCAATTAGGCATACATGGGTAACTTTCACATATGATGCTTTTCATCTTTTTTTTTTTAAAAAAAATACAGTTGTCCTGCAAAGCCAAACCAGATAGGATGAAGGTGAAATAGGTGAACTGCAGTACAGAGGGTTGTTTTTAGCAAAAATAACAACAAAAGAAGAAGTAGGTTTTCGATAGTGTATTTTAAGAATAAATAACTTGTAGTTGTAGGCAGTTTAGGATAATATATGTACAGTATAACAACAGAAAGAGAATGGTTTAGGAGGGAGATTGGTATCCACAGTGAAACTTACCCAGATTCAGCCACTTCAAATATAAGATAATGCTTCCCCTTCCCCCAACCTTTCGAATTCCCATATCAAAAAAAAAAAAAAGTATTCTAGAGAATAAGCAAAGTTAGGCATATCATGTGTTTTATGATACATAGCTTTCTATATGGAAATACTGTTTTTTTGTAGAAAAAAATAAATATGGTTTTGTGGATCTTTCCTTCCTAAAAAATGAAAAGAAACCCCTGCGATTATCTAGAAGTAGCATTAACAGTAACATCCTAAGTAATCCTAGCTTTGTAACTAGAAATATTCCCTTTTCATAGCAGACCTCTTGATACTTAACTCTTTTACTCCCTGTTCTCCATAGGCTACATCCAGAAGATTAAATCTGGGGAGGAAGATTTTGAATCCTTAGCATCACAGTTCAGTGACTGCAGCTCAGCCAAGGCAGGGGGAGACCTGGGTACTTTTGGAAGAGGTGAGTCAATTGATTTTATGGGGCTGCAGTCCTGCTTTCTGAACAGGTTGGGGGATATCCATCAAGATTATAAAAGGAAGGACACTGGTTTTTCCTCTCCTTAGAAATAATTGCTTTTTTGTGAAGTACATGCTAAAGAGGGAGCAAAATGAATAAATCAATGTTTTTGAATACAGAACAACCCTCAAGACCAGGGGTGTCAAACTCAAGGCCTGGGCAGGGGTGCGCAGATCCGGACCACGGGGTGTTTAGATCTGGCCCGTGGGGCTGCCCTGGAAACAGCAAAGGACCAGCCCGCAGTACCTCTGCCAGTGAAAATGGATGTCGGGAGGGCTATGGGTGGCCCTCCCAAGCTCCATTTTTGCTGGCAAAGGGTTTCAGGAAGCTATTGCAACTGAAAAAAGAGCTCGGGAGCCTATTTTCACTGGCAGCGCCCTTGGGCCACCACAGGCGCCCTTAACATGAGTGAGGTTGAGTTGACCACATCCACCCTGGCCCTCAAGGTCAAACACAGCCCTGATGCAGCCCTCAATGAAACCAAGTTTGACACTCCTGCTCAAGACAATCAGAGCCTATAACAATGGCCATATTATCAAGCCAATTCTCGAAAAGAAAACCAAGCTTTGAAAGTTGTCTGGGCTGTTGTAGGCTGTTCTCTTTTATGCTTCAAGGAAGCTTAATTTTGGGATAATTCTTTTGAAGAAGTTCTGGATATTATGTGTTCAGCTTGCAGATTATGTACCTAATAATAACATACCTTTCACTAATCAGATCATGCGTTACGGAAGCTATGTCCTTGTTACAGCATATATTGTTGAAGCAACCAACTTTTTACTATTTTTCTTGTACAAAATGAGAGTACATATAAAAGTATATACAACAACACACATAGAGAGGGGACAGAGGGTATCAGAATGTCCAAAGGTCTGGGATTGGCAACTTTTGAGGAGTCAAAAGCCACAACTCAGCCCTTCAACCTTCAGGGGAACTTCCAGTATGAAACCTCTATCACTAAAAGAGTTATGGCTGCACTTTTTGGTCTGATTATTTTTTGGGAGGAAGAGATTTTCTAGATAGGAATAGGAGACTTCTAAGAGGTGAACTGAGAGCCAGTTAAGGCATAAGGCTAGACACTGGGAAACTGAGTTCTAGTCTCCCCTTAGGCACATATCCACATAGCTTTGGGCTCATTCTCAGCTGGAGGAACCAAGCAATGACAAACTACTTTTAAAAAAAACCTTGCCAAGAAAATTGCAGGGATTGGTCAAGGCAGTTTCTGAGAATCATACATAATGGAAAAAAAGGGTGAGCTATTTAAAATTCCACATAGGCAAAAAAGCTGAAATGTGGCCATTGTGCTGCTTAGAGTTATTGAAGAGAATTTAAGATTCCAAAAGTTGACCGATGTCTTGTTGAGAGGTCTTATGCTAATGATAACAGCATTTCCTAATTTTGGCCAAATTAACAATGCCACAATTAAGCCCAACTATGGTCTATCTCCCTTTGGAAATACTGCTTTTTACGACAACTGTCACAAGATAGAGGGCCCCTTATTTGGTGACCTCTACTTATAGAATAAAATAAAATTCTTTATTGACCAACTGTGATTGGACACACAAGGAATTTGTCTTGGTGCAAATGCTCTCAGTATACATAAAAGAAAAGATACATTCGTCAAGAATCATAAAGTACAACACTTAATAATAGTCATAATGACTTATTGCAATGACTTACTACAAATGCTGCCCACTTTGTAACTTGAGTATTCATATTCTGTGAATATGCTGTTTTGACACTTGTCTGCATTGCTCAAGGACTCCTTTTTAACTATTTGATGTTATTGAATATGTTAGGTGCCTTGTTAAAATTTCTTTGAGAAATGGAGTCTATCATGCATCTTGGATTTTGCTTTGGATCAAAATAATTGTAGCATTTAATGAAAAGCGTTCTAAGCCATAATAGGTGAAGATGCTGCATTGTTTGCATGCATCCTGTTGAGGTAGTTCCCCGTTAGGAGAATGAGCGCACACAGGGAGACATAGTGAGAGTGGTGAAGAATAACACACAACTAGCACACCGATACAGTATATAGTAAAATGTAGGTTTTTACTTCCAGTAAAACTGTTAAGCAAAGCCCAAACACAGTCCAAGTCATACACGGTTAAAGCAATTAGTTTTCAGTCGAGGGATAATCCAAAATCAAAGTCCAGTATCAAAAACAGTTCAGTAACAGACTTACATCAAATGCAAGAACTATGATCAGCAACAATCAACAGGGAAATACAGGAATGGCAACACTCTCAATAGGACAGAACAACCCAGGTTTCTGGCCCCATCTTATGGCCGTTTGAGGAACCACACCCAATTACAATTTTCGCATTCCCTTAAAGAGACAGTATTAAAATGTCTATCCTGGTTTATATATTTTCCAACCCAACTGTTAGGTGACTTACATTCCTAACACATCCTGCATATGATAAACCTTCCTGCCTGCTCTGTCAGCCCAGCTGAATCATTATTTCTCTCTAGTTCCTACTGTATATTTATATTAATGGATACTTTATTGTTAAGCAATTTACCATCTGAAGGTTGTTTCCTTTACATTAGGTTAATTTTCCTAGCCTTGGGCACAGCATAATGTACCTTGAAACACTATGGATAATCTGTCTTTGGCCTCAAGTATGCTACCCAGGACAATTGCATCCATTTCTGGGCCATTGTCTTAAAAATCCTGAAATCAGATATCTTTTAGCCTTGAAAAAAAAAAGGTTTACAGGAAAATAGTAAAAGATTTCCTCTATCAATCAGATTCCTAAGTGTGGGTTATTATCTGCTTGTTTTGAAAATAAAAGGCGCTAATAGAAAAGGCCTAACAATGTTTCTGTTGCTATGTCTCTCCTGGCTTTCATGAGACACTATTTTTGTTTGAAAATTAAAAGATGCTGAAGCTCAATGACAGTGAACAAGAGTTGCAGCTAGCAGGTATTGGGAAACGCCTTTCCATGCCTGAGATCTCAGTTCATAAATTGAGATGTTGACTTGTTTACCAAGATCACTGGAATTCTACTAAACTGCTGCTAATTGATTCTACTAACATATTTATTTTGTATCATCTATTCTGCTTGTTTTCCTCATCTGAGAAGGAAAAAAAATACTGTATCTCATGGGCTGAAGTTCTCCCATTTTGCCAAACTTGATCTGGCCTTAAACTTCTGAATTTCACTAGCTGTTGCTTGTATGATTTTAGTTTTAAAAGCTAGAAACCTCATTTTCTTTGAAACTGGAAATTTCAAGAAGTTGAGTACAGAACATGTCACCAGGTTGTAGGAAAGGTAGTATGGGATGATACATGGCCTAGAAATACCTTCTCATAGAAGTGAATAGGAGAACTCTGAATGAGTGGGCTGCAATGGCAAGTGCAGAATCAAGAAGCTATTCTTCTTCCTAGTGTATTCCCACTACTGCAGGGTCTGCTTTTTGGATCATTGAACACCATTTTCCACGGTCAGCTGCGTCTCCAGAGCGCAGGCCTGCAACTTGCATATCTCTTGCCATCTCTGTTTTGGATGCCTGTGAAATAGCTGACTATTGACTTCTAGTTGGTAGGCATTCTTGGCAATGGTGGAAGGTGCAGGACATGTCCATACCAGTGGAGCCAGCCTTCTCTCATCTTCTCTATAATTGGTGCCACTCCAAAATGTTGCCAAATGGGGTCATTTGTGATGTGGTCAAGAAGGGAGATCGCCGATATCCAATGAAGTATTTACATTTCCATGGTATGGAGATAACTTTCGGTCCCTGTTGTTGCTGCCCAGCATTCAGCGCTATACAGGGCAGATGGTTGTCTTGTAAAAAGTAGATTTAAGACGGGTTGGCATTTGTCTGCCACATAACCCACCGGTGAATTCTCACCAATGCATCCAGGCTGATGTTGCTATTGCCTTGGAGGTAGGATCCCAGATGCCGAAAAATGTCCACATTCTTTAGGTTTTCTCCATTGTTTTCTCCATTGTTTTGAAGCATTCCAGGGGTGGTGACAGTCTCTAAATACTGAGTTTTCTTGATGTTGAGGCATGCTCAAGAATCAAGAAGCTATTGAGAGGGAATAATTCGTTTTTTGATAGGGCATCTTTATCATTAGACTCATTAAGTTTGTATCTTGAATATTTGCTACAAAAATAATTTCTTTAGAAGAGATTGAGAATCAAACAACACAGCTTTTCATTCTAGAACAAGGGGCAGCAATTGTTTGACCTGGGAATAAAATATCTGGTATGAGGCAGTGTTCCCCTTAATGATTGATAATGCTTTTGTGCAACTTTCTTGAACCTGAATTCAAATATATATGCTGCTAGGAAAGTATACTGTAATGAACATAATGCAGATAATATATAGACCGTTTAAACATGATTAATTTGTAAGTTGTTCTGAGTCCCTGACTCTGGTGAATCAAAAATTGCAGAGAAAAAAATATGTGCCTTATAGTTTCTCTCCATGCAGAGAAAGCTCTGACCAGATCTGCTACCAACTTAACCCAATCATCTTGTTGAAATGAGCTATTTGAAAATAATGGCATAATTTAGTATTCAAGTAACTAATTTAATTAATTATGATGAACTCATAGTCTACACCAGATGCTAGAGATATCCTCTAACCAATAGCCATCAAATTGTCAGAGCCTGAAATTCTCGTGTAAAGGTCGATATATCCGATACTTTGATCAATAAAAATCTGAAATCATTATACTAAGTGACCTTAACAGTATTTCCAGAAAGAAAAGCTTTGCATTTTTAATATAGGCATTTATGTACTGTATTTCATGTGCGTTTATGCTGCTTATATCTTCTGACTTTGTGTCCACCTTGGTCAATTAGGAAAGAAAGGCTTTTGAACTCATGGTTAGTGAAAGTACACTTTAAAGGCAAGTGGTTACAGTGTAATAAAGCCAGATCTGGATTTTCACGCCCAAAGCATTTGGTTAACTTTTCTCCTGTCTTCAGGACCTTAAGAAGGTATTACGAGCAATTTTGTGGCAGGGTTTGGTTTTTGTCTTGATGAGCTTCTAATAATAACATTTGTATGTTTTTCAAGGATGAGAAGTATTTGGAACATATACGGTCTTTAGGTAATCCCAAAATAGAAGTTCCAAATTGGATCCATCAGTAGTGGCAGAATAAATTTAGAGAAAAATATTTAATAATATCCTCGCAAGGATCTTTTAAAAAAATGTTAAAGAAATAAGCATGTAAATTCATATCAATATATAGAACATGAATTTGCAAGACAGATGAAATAATTAGCATAGCTACTGTTTATCATCCAAAACCTTAGTTCCTTCTTACAATAATAGACTTTGCCCTTGATAGTTAATGTTTATGTGTAACTGGAAGAAAAAAAATGAAGTTGCTAACTTTGGTCAAAAACTTTCTTTTCTTTTCCTGGGAGTAAATTCTTGGTTTGCAAGAAGATACTATTTTTTAAATTGTCCTTTATCTTCACAAATTCTGCCTTATTGTTCAGAGGCAGTAATTCCTTCCCGAGTCAAATATTTTCCAGAAGAAAAGATGATTGCTAATATTGGCATTTGGGATTGCAAAGTAATGAAAAAGCTATTAATCATAGTCTGCCAGTGACTGGTAGTTGGGTCTCATTTAGAAACTGTCACTTCAGCTGTGGTCTTGGGTGTCTTACTGAAAGAAAGAGAGTTTAGATGAGACAGGCACAATGATGCAGTAGCAATGCTGCTGGAATTTTGTTGTCCACTAGATGGGACTAGGAGCACAAGCAGGTCTTCCATGATAACCACTTTCTGTCATCTTGTACTCTTTCGATGGGATTGCTAACCATAATTTGCTACAATTATGAATCCTGGATATGTTTAGAAGTGAAAAAAACATAAGCATTCTCATTTAGTCTTCTAAAAAATCAAGAGCAATTGACATTTCCTCTGCTTTATTAAATTCTGGATGAAGAAACAGATGGTTTTTTTTTCCTGATTCAGAAATTAAGAACTTTTGGGTTGAGAATAAATCCAAATCAACATTTATTTGAAGGTTATAAATTATGTGCTACACAGCTGCATGGAGAAAACCAATTATTTAAGGCAAAGTAGCATATCCTATTACAGTTAATTAATATCCACATTTCTTCTGGAAATATGTGCATTTTTTCAAAATTGAATACTTAATTACAAATAGTTATAAATTCAGTTATGAAATGAGAAACAATTTAAGTAATTGACTTGAATGACTTAATTATTTTCTTGCTTTTCTGTGGTGGTAATTCAATTTAATGCATCCTGCATTTTTAAACCAGTCTTCCTATTTTTTTCTTTTCAAAAAAAAAATCCTATAGCAGCGAATTACATTGTTGTGGTCAGACCATTCATACTGTGGTTGTTCAAGAATGAGCAAAACTAGGATTGCAATGATAGCGTGTAGAGCAGGGCTGTCAAACTCCCATCCTGTGGGCTGGATGTGTCTCGTGTTGGCCATGCCCATGCCCGGTTTAGCAAAGGGGAAAAAAGTCCTGATACGTCATGTGACGCCGCGAGTTTGACACCCCTGATATAGAGCATTGCAAGAGCATGCATTTGCACCCATAACAAGCTTTGGTGTCTTTGTGAAAAAAAAGATGTCTCTTTTTTTGATATCCTCCATTTTAAAGTTCAGTTCAAAAAAGAAATATTTTATACTTGTGTGATTTTTCCCTATAAAATTCTGTTGCCAGCAGGATTATAATTTTAAATCTTTTCGTTTTCCCTTCTAGTCATTTTATGAGCTAAAACTGTGGGGGAAATAACAGGCTAAAGCCATTATGACAAGTCCTGGAAGAAGTTTAGAGTTATAATTATAAAAGTGGCAGATGGATTGAAAGCCACAAATAAATAATAAATTCTACTAATTTCTCAGACACACAAACCCACAGGATTATATGCAGCATGCAAAGAAAATGCAAAAATAAAAATTCTGTCGGGTTCATCTGAAACGCTGCCTTTAAGCTTTCTGGATTCATTTTCTATAGCAGTGGCAATACTGTACATAACAATTCTAATTCAAGGGTTCTACCCGAGATTTACCCAGTTTCCTTTCTACTTGGGTCAATTTTGGCATCTTAGGACAGCAAGTCCTAATTTTTGGTGCTAAGTTCAGTCACCAGGGCTCCCTTCTTTTTCTTTCTGTCCTTGGTACTGATACTCAAGACTTGAAGGGAAGTAAATGCCAGTTAAAAGATCCAATATTTTGATAAGGGTGAGGTAAACCTTTGAACCCCTGTAAATTGAATACTGATCCAATTTGTTTTTTGATGCATCACAGGAGTTTAGTAACTGCCTTTCTCCCAGCTGTTTTTCTCTATAGATTTCAAAAGACATTCCCTGGGCTGTCATGAGCTGCTTCTGCAGAATAGTTCTGCTATAGTCAGATGGGAGAGAAAGGAAGTCCCTTCAAAACTTGGCAGTAAGTTTTGAAAGAGGGGCCCTACACTCACATCTCTGCTGCTAAAAATTAGACACAGCGCACAGCAAAAAGATTAGGATCCTTTCTCTGTTGTACTTTATTTTTGAAGATTGTCTGATGCGGGGGGAAGCATTGGAGAGTGGAACTCTCCCATATGCATATTGAAGTGATGCATGCCACCCTGCTGCTTGGTTCTGCACATGCAGAGCCCTCCTGATTACGAATCATGAGGGTAAATTGGGCAGCAAAGAAAGTGCAGATAAGATATGGTGAATGATTCAGGTTTCTGCAGTCAAAACATGCACACATGCTAGGTATTAAGATTGGTTCAATCACATTTGAGCTTGACAGGGCATGTGGGTTCTGATGTATTTTCTCTGCTCCTCTGTATTTGAAATGGTGGACGATCTCCAGGGAACATGTCGATGGAGAATGTGTCAGGGAAGGGACAGCCTGCCATTTTAATCCCAGAAGCTCCAAATATTAGAAAATGTGTGCACAAAACTGGATCCTTAACTAACATCCTATCACTGAAAAAGTGCTCACCAGTTAAAAGGAAAACACATATATTTATCCAGCACTGGAACAGAATTAATATTTGGGTGATATTTTTCAGTAAGATCATTTAATATGTCTTCAAATATTTAGATTCTGGCCATAAAGGTGTAAAAGTCCAGTCTATGAATATGGAATCCTATATTACAGATTTTTGTGTGCTCATAGCTACTACAGGTAGTCCTTGATTTACAACCATTCATTTAGTAAACATTCAGAGTTACAGAAACACTGAAAAGAGAGACTTGTGGTTGTTTTTGACGCTTATAACCATTAATACATCCCCGTGGTTACATGATCAAAATTTGGATACTTGGCAGCTGTCATGTATTTATGATGGTTGCAGTATCCTGGGGTCATGTGATCATCTTTTCTGATAAGCAAAGTCAATAGGCAAATCAGATTCACTTAACAGTGGTGTTACTAACTTAACAGCTATAGTGATTCACTTAACAACTGTGATAATAGAGGTTGTAAAATGAAGCAAAACTCACTTAACTGCCTTGCTTAGCAATGGAAATTTTGGATTTCATTGTGGGTGTAAATCAAGGACTACTTTTATAGGATTGCCTTTGGCTTTTTTCTGTTGAGCTAGAACCAGTGAGGGCAACATTTCCTACTTCTAGACGTTCATGCTTGGGATTAATTCTAGATATTCTTGATCGGGCTGTCAGTTTTCCACTTTTCACTTGAAAATTGTTTTCTGTCTGACAGGTCAAATGCAGAAACCTTTTGAAGATGCCTCCTTTGCGCTGAGGACTGGTGAGATGAGTGGACCAGTATTCACAGATTCAGGGATCCATATAATTCTGCGTACAGAATGAGTGTTTTGGCACCATGCACTTGGAAAAGAAAGGGTGATGGGAGAAAAGGAACAAGAGAACCGTTATTCCAACCATTGATACGCTCTCTATCCCAGAACAAACTTCATATCTAACTTATTGTTTATTTTTGTTTATATATATAAAATATATAAACATAAACAATAAGTGTGTGCATATGCAACACACATCAATGTGTATCTGTTTCATATTTCAGTACCTTATTTGACATGTTGAAGAAATGTTTTCCCCCACCTGTATTGATGCATGTTAGCTGGGGCAGAAAACAATTGAAACAATGAGACAGTAGCATCTTTCATGGACACAATGACAATGTTTTTAACAACAATAAAAAAAGGAAATTCCCTAGCTGCTTGAGTTTAATATTGATGGTTTCTTCCATTCAGGAGACATGTCTATACTTACAGGGTCATGCTTCAATGCTTTCCCTCTATATCCAACTTATCATAGAGTTATTTATTATAGGGCTGCATTGATGGTGGCAGAGTTTAGCGCTCAGTGTATAAGTAGAATAAAAATCTCCTTTGCCACGATATAGCCTGGTTTAAGTTCACAAGTGACAACATCCCATTTCTTATCTCTCTGACCCACAATTCAGTGGCATTCATTTCTTAATTTGGCCAATCACTGATAAATTGTTTTTGGATGTACAACTAGAACACACTCCTGTGGCCTCACTTAATTGCTGTAGATTTAGGACAACAGATTTCGCATGATAATGTGCAAATTCCTCTGGACTTCACTTCCAACTTCCATCAAGGGTTGAGTTTCAGAAGTTGCAAAGGGACTTGATGTTGTCTGGATAAGAATTATCTCTGCTCACCTGAGCATACACCGGATTCTGCTGTCAGAAATATAAGTATAAATTCACCATATGCTGATTACCATAATGCGTTCACATTGAATTGAATCTTGCTGATGCCCTTTTGAGGCAAATATTTTTCTTTTACATTATTCCAGTGCAGCCCCTCCACAAATTTATTTAGCCCTCTAAAATTTCATTAGATTTACTACATTTTAATCATTCTTGTGTGTTGTTCTTAATGCTGAAATACTATCCCCAGGGAAGGCCATTTAGTTATTGGCTTCCAAGTTTTTTGGTTTGTGTTTTCTTTTTTTGTTTCTATTTTCTTTTGTTCAGAAGCTGGCCATGATCCATTTGTGGTTTAAGATAACACTGTAGTCACTCTTCCTGTTTTTCTGCATTGCTTTTTCTCTATATAAAATCAATATGATTCCCACCAAATTCCCTGCTTTTGATCTGATGCAAACAAGCTTTGTGTATATATATATGTACAGAGAGTGTTCCAGTTCTCTTATGTGAGAAAATAAAAATAAATCCCTGCCAACTATCAACATCAGAGTTTGATCTTGTGATATTTCTTGTTATTTTTAATGTCGTGCAGATTTTATTTTAATATGCTTTCTGATCACTCAAATAATTCAGGTTATTTTAGTGCAGAACCCATAACTTGCAAATCACCAGATCAAGGACATGCCCCTCCATAACCTGTGGCCTTAAAATTCCTTGATAAATCATCTGCTTTGAGCACTGCTGGATAAATGGAGGAAAAGAAACCTGATTAGTCCCCATTCATCCCTCTCAGTTTGATAAGTCACATGTTGTTTTGGTGATGAGAAAAGTATTGGAAAAGAGAAGTAAAGATTAAGGATAAGTATTGATCTAGGTATGGCAATATCATTGTAAAGTTTTATATAGGCATAGCTAGAGGTGCCTTTCAATAAATGTTTGAGCAGGTTTCAAATAATTGTTGGAAAATACGGGAAATTTCTATTACACTGGTTTTAGATTTTTCTACTCTGATCCTCTGGAGGATTTTTTTTAATAAGATACATTTTTGAAAATTGTCGTCCAATTAGTTTTAAATGAAAATAATGTTTGTTCTATGATTTAAGCCAGGTCTTATTTTAATGCTTCTGATATACATTTGGCTCTTGATTTCCATAGAGTTGCACTTTTTTCATTCAGAAGATCCATTATTACCAAAAGGCTTTTTTCCTCCTGTATGTTATCTTCTACACTATAATATTACCTCAGGGTCATTTCAAAATGAATTCAGAAGACCAAAGTCTGCCTAGTTGCCATGGTGGAATTTATTGTATAGCAGAAAAGAAACACTTTTTTGAGGTTGGGAGCTACACTTAAAAAAAAAAAACTTTAATGAGCTGAGATACTGCAAATGGTGTCTTGATGTTATCAAAAGAGGCGTGGCTGCATTTTAATTTTAAGATTAAAAGCTGCTTTTTTTAAAAAAGAAAAAAATCATTAGTTGTGCTAAGCTTCCACTTGGCTTATATATATAAATGGTACTGCTGGTAAATATCCAGTAGTATTAAAAAAGAGAATTTCTAACCATTTTTCCTGTTATTTTAAAATGTGTTTTTCAATGTTAAATCCATCCTTCCCTCCCTCCCTCCCTCCCTTCCTTGTGATGGATAGTTATTGTGCTTTCTGGAAGAGCAGGGGGCCTATGCAAACTTCCTCCTGAAAATCTGCAGTGAAAGCAAAAGAGATCTTACACTACCATATCCTCTGCTGAGAAATAGAGCTTGGATTATCTACCACAAGGCAAGGTCTTGTTCTGTGTACAAGACTTAATTGTTGGGGCACTTGAGACATTTGTACTGGGTCAATACTAGACATGTTTTACAGGCTCAATTAAGCCTATGTGTGTTTTGCCTAAGGGCACACAGTGAATTTGTCAGAGGTAAAGCCATGCCTTTTCACTATGTCAAAATGACCACTGTGTTTAACAGCAATGCACTCAGAAAACAAATAAATGTAGTGTTACAGCACTGGATGGTTGTTCAAAATATGGGGTATTTCCATTATCATTTTTACCTCTGCTTTCATCAGTCAAACTCATTGGGAAAATGAGATAGTTGCATTGGATGAAAGTTTGTCTCCATAGCAACACATTGATTTCTTTATTTTTAATATAAATCTCTAGAATGCAGGGTGACAAGCAAGTGAAACATGGGGGAAGGGAAGAAAGTGAAAAGGAAAATTATCCCCAAATGAGCATAATGTGGTGAGAACAATTTCAAAGGAGAGAAGAAGGAAAATTAAGTTAAGATTTTCATTAAACAGTGGCAGATTTAAAGATGAGTAATTCTTTAAAAGCGAGTTACGAATGCATCTTTATTCCTAGAAGGGGTGATCTTTGGAAATTTGATGGAGTTTGCAATCCAGTGGGATAAAATTGTTTTCAGAGTTAAGTCGCTACGTTTCTTCCATGCAAGCAATCCACACTGAACGCCAAGGAGAAATTCAAATTGTATGCTTTTGTAACGTAGCTCTGAAAGATGAGAAAGAGTTCTTAAAAGTTTCTAGGACTTTTTTCTCAGCTGCTCTGCTGTTTTTGCTATTTTAGGAATTCAATCCTAGTTTCTAGGACTAGAGTCCTTCAACAGGGGCAAAACATTTGTGATTACTGTACTTACTATACCACAGCTCGGCAATTTACTCAGTAAAATGACCAGGCAGTCCTTCCTCCCATCTAACACCCCATAAATGCACTGAGATTCCAAGAATTTCTAGCCGTGATGGATATTAACATTTCTGCCAAGTCTAGGGAAAGGAGGCTGACAGAATCTCCCCTGTTGTGGGAAAATACGGAAGCAAATGTTCCTTCAGCAGACTTGCATATTCTAGCTCGTGAGCTGCAGCAAGTGAGAGTAAACTTATAGGCTAGGAGGATCAATGGTTTGAATTGTATAAAGCATTTTTCAATTGAATCTCCTTGTTTCTTCATGATCAAAAGTTAGCCCTCAGTGCAGAATGTTCAGAATTTGCCATCAAATTTGAATTTTAGAAATCCACATTAAAAAAGTATAAGCTGGCTTCTTCAAGCTAAGAACTAAGGATCATTAATTCCCAAATTGTTCCCCTTCACCTAACTCTTTTGAAGCTTTTCGGTGAGATTACATTGCCAACAGGTCTCAACATCTGTAGATAAAGAGGGAGACCAACTTAGGAGGGGGAATTTATTGCAGGGTATTTTCAGTTATCAAGTTGACATAACAGAATGCCTTCATTTCCTGTTAGGAAGGGAGAAGGATGGTTTCTTGGTCTCTCCGTTTGCTGGAGATTTTCCAAGTAGAAGTGATATTTGTGAAATAACAGTTGGAGCCCAGCTAAAATGATGGCAACTTCTGTTGCTTGGCTTCATTCTGATGCTCTAATTGTAGAAAGCAACAGGAGAACTTACCCTTTGATGGCTTATTTTGAATGAAAACAGACACGATAAAGCAAAATCGAATTTGGGTCAGTCACCAGGACCAGAGAGTTACTCTTTGGAGCTTTCAGATTTGTGCTGGAGCTCATCTTCAGGGGATTTTTCTACTGGAATGTGTGCTTTGGACTGTTCTGTGAGTCATGTTTATGTGGCGCCTTCCTATTGGCTGTTTGGTGCATTTATTTATTTAGCATATGGCACATGTTAGCCAGGGATCACCAAGGTGGCTGGCTGCCTCTGTGAAAGGAATTTTTTTGGGCGGTGTTAATTTTACCTATGGGATGCCGGAAGGCAATAAGGGGAGGCTCCTTTTTTGTCCCTACACGGTTTATTTGCTCATGGGAATTGAACTGCCAAGCTGCCGACCTCAGCGGTGCGCAGGTCTAGCATCTTACCACGTGAGACACCGCGGTGCATTGATAGCTGGTGATTGGCTGTCATTTCTTTGTGCTGCCAAACCCTCAGCTCCTAAATATTTGATAGACTGGTGGTAATTCAGCACTCCTGTTAACTGACAAGAGGCCCATTTCCCAAGCTTCAATCACTTCCCTGGCTATCTTTGTTCCTGCATGGCCAATGATTTTAGTTGCTGTGAAATTAAATGTGTGTCCTTGCTCATTGCAGTGTGAGGCTACCAATGAGTTTGGGTCTCCTCTTTTGACCGCTTACTTACGTTCTTGCAATTTGGTGTTTAGCCTCCTCCCGTTTTGTCCTACATAGTCATAAGGGCAGTCCATTCAGGGCAACCGGTAGATTACATTGGAAGAATCTCCCACCTAAATCTCTGGTCCCAGTGACTGATCCAAATTTGATTTCACATCATTATCTCGGGACACATATATTTGCCTTCATTCGTGAGACATGATAAACTTTAAAGGCTTATTTAGCATGAAAGTTGACTGGCTTCAAATACTGCATGTTGGGGGAATGCCCCAACTTCATTTTCAATTTCATGGTGAACTGTTAAAACTGTTTTGATCAAAGGTTTTATCCATTGCTATTGCCATACTTGAACTGGTCCTGAAGTTTCCATTTCAGCTGACTCTGCTCACAGCCAGCTGTTCGATCCTGACCGACTCAAGGTTGACTCAGCCTTTCAGGCTTTGGAGGCTGGTAAAATGAGGATCCACATTGTTGGGGGCAATAGGCTGACTCTGTAAACCAGTGGCCCCCAACCTTTTTTGCGCCTGGCCCGGTACCGGCATCACAAAATGATCCACAGCCCGGTACCGGCATCAGCACGCATGGCAAGGTGAGCCGAGCGGCGGCCAGCCAGCCGTCCCCCACTTCTCCCCGCCACCTTCAACTCCTCCTTTGTACTTTTGTTGATGGGCTTCGGGACGGTCTCTTGGCTCGCCTTGCCTTGGGTGCTGAAAGAATCCTCGCGCCTTAGTTTTGTTCGAAGCCCCCCCTCCCTTCGATGAAACTAAGGCGCGAGGATTCCTTCAGAACCCAAACGCCGCTTTCCAACCGGAAAAGCTCACCGGAAGCACTTTCTCATCAAAACAAGATGGCGGCGCCTGGAAAACCGACGGCCCGGTAGAAAATGTTCCACGGACCAGTACTGGTCCGGGGCCTGATGGTTGGGGACCCCTGCTGTAAACCACTTACAAAAGGGCTGTAAAGCACTGTGAAGCAGTATATAAGTCTAAGAGCTATTGCTATTTGACTCAGTATTACTGCTGCCTGTTGCAGGGATGCTAGCAGTACCTTTGCTTTAGGTAAATCATAGCTACTTCTGTTTGTGCCACTTCTCTCATCTGTTTGGGTCAGTAAAAGTACTGAAATCTGAGTTTATTCTATTGAGAGCTATCACATCAAGTATAGAAGCAACTTGATATTTGGTCTTAGAGAGTTGCTACATGTGAGAAAGTTGTCCTTTCTTCTACCACTATAACCTTTTCCATCATATTCTCAGACAATGCTGAAGACAAATCAGTTATTTTTGATTCTGGTTCTAAAAGTGGTCAATAGTATTTTTACAAGGGCTGTCCTTCTTAGTTGCATGACATGGAGCTTCATTGGCGCAGTGGTTAGAGTGCAGTACTGCAAGGTACTCCCACTGCAATTTGGCAGATTGAATCCCACCAGGCTCAAGG